TTCCAGATCTTTCTTCCTCTTTATTTTTTTCTTTCTAGAATATAATTCTGATTAATTTTTAGCAGCCACAATTAAAAAAAAATCCCAAGATTCCTCCCCTTAAAGTCATTGTGCTTTTCTGCTCTGCTGTAATCACTTTTTCCCTTTGATGTCACATTTCTCCTGTCTTCTCTCACTCTTAATTTGAAAGTAACTTTGTGTTGTGAACGTAAGAAACTCTTGAGCAATTTTCTGTTTCAGAAAGTGTCCCCAATTATACACACTCATCTATTTCAGAGGCAGGACTAATTTTGATGTGTGTTTATTGAACTCTGAGATCCTGACCTTTCAGCTGTGGTGGCTGTTTACATAATTAGTGGCAGCCCACTGTGTGCAGATGCACTGAAGGTTTATTTGGGATAAGATGTACCTAGAAGTGATTTGCCTGAATGAAGGTGCAGCCTGAGTACACACATGTCCTCAGGAGAGGGAAAACTGCAAGGCTGTGCCCTCAGGGCACTTATGTGACCTCAGACCTTCAGCAGGATCCCCTGGGCCTGCACAGTTCTGGTTTGCACTGGTAGATGGTGGTGTCATGATCATTATTTTTGATCAGACAAACCAGTTTTCTCTTTCTGCATAGTTTAGTTAGGGCTGGGAGAAGGAAACATCATGTCTAAATCACAATAGGAAGTTCTTGAAATTGCCATTTCAATTACTTCAGCCAGAGCATGCACAGTGTTCTGTGCTGCTCTCCCTGCTCCTGTCACAGAGAATTACTACTTAATTGGATATTCTACAATTCTATGATTTTTGAGTTGGAAGGGTCTCACTGAGTCCAACTCCTGGCCTTGTGCAGGACATCCCAAGGATCTCACCATGTGCCTGAGAGCATTGTCCAAACACATCTCGAACTGTCAGGCTCAGTGCTGTTCCCTGAGGAGGCTGTTCCAGTGTCCAACCATCCTCTGGGCGCAGAACCCTTTCCTGATATCCAACTGAAACTGCCCCTGACACAACTTCAGGCCATTCCTGGGTCCTGTCTCTCGCCCCCAGAGAGAAGAAATCAGTGCCAGCCCCTCTGCTCTCCATCATGAAGAAGTTGAAGCCCACTGTGAGCTCTTCCCTCTCCAGATGTCAGCAGTGAGTGCTGTGAGAGAGAGACCCTCACTCACTGTCCTGCCTCCGCCTCCTTTGGAACCATGGTGATAACACCACCCACAGTTACCTAAGCATCTTTGCTATACTGAACTGTAAGTGCAGAGAGGAATCCAGAGAGAAATAAGCCATTCTGAAAATTAAACAGTATTTTTATTATGGATATTCTGTCAAGGCTTGACAGAGCAGTTAGAAGAAATGCTTTTTGTCAGTTACATAATTAGAAATAAAAATACCAGAATCATTACTACAAACACTTTTTTTGCTCAACAAGTAAAGTAAATGACCTTGATTACAAGAAGAGTTATACTTCTAAGCCATCCAGCTTGGGCAGTTTTGAATTCAATTTCTCATTGTCCAGTTCTAGAACTTCATGAAAGGAACTTGGAGCGGTTTTTCTGCTGCGCGCTTCAGAGCCAAGGCGTACGTGTAAACCCTGGCATCCACTGCCAGCTGCTCCTCTGCTACCAGCTCTGAAAATAAAACAAATGATGAGATGCTGTTAAAACCTTTACAGAAATATAGGTCCTTGCTAAAATGAAGATGTGTAGCATTCCAGATGCTGCAAACTCCTCCTGCTATCACTAGCTCGCATACCTGGCCAGATCTCTCACAGCTTTTTGCTTAACATATTTTATAACATGATGTATTCTAGGGTGAGAGATGACATGAGGAGCCCTGAGAAGGGATTCTTGAAGCTCATGTTAGTGCATTTAATGTGTCAGAAAGCTCTTACCATCAATCCTTTGCAGTAGGTCATTCTTTGGAAGTGTAACAACTTCCACAAATTCTAGGAGAGAAGAAAAAGGTTTACACATCCTTAAATTAGTGAACAGTAAAGAAATTTAACTCTGTCCTCTGTTTCTTGCAATTTAGAAGGGGAAAGAGACTGATTTAATGATTGTCAGCATCCAAAAGTTGTGAGCTTTCATGTATCAAAAAAGGGTCAATTAAATTGGGGAAGGCAGTGACTGGGCTCACTAAAAAACATGCTTGGCAGAAAAAAGCTGGAAAACAGTTGGGAAAAAAGTGTAGCTGGTAGCTATGAAGCATAAGAATCCCCAAAAGAGAAACCTCCCTTTTGAGAATGAAAAATGCACTGTTGAAGAAAACTTGTTTGGCTTCTCCTGGTACAGGAATGGGTTGGAGATGCATTTCAAGACCAAGCCATCTCAAAGGGTTTGTTAATGATGAATTGATGCTGGCTTACCCCTCCCCTGTGTCTCTGAATTACTTGTCTTCAGGGCTTGACCTACAGCTGTTGTGGGGGCAGCAATTTGTATTTCCTGAAATCCTGGTGCTATAGGTGCAGTACTGGGAAAGATAATTGACGTAATAATGCCCCACAGGAATTTGCATCTAGGCCAAAGTCAACCTCAGGCACATTTGATTAGGCTCAGGAGATTACCCAAGCACAAATAAAAACCAGTTTTAACTGACTTTTTCTAAGTAAAACTTGCCACATGAAGAATCATGACCCTCTTGTCAGTGAGATCCCAGTCACATTACGTACCTCCATCATCTGCAAGTGAAAAGAGCAGTGGGTTAAGGGGTGGAAATACACCAGAGTTTATAATTCACAAGCATTTGATGGCTAACTGACTGGGAGTGACACTGCAATTACTTCCAGAGTGAAGCTACAGCTGACAGCAGTCTCTAGGTCCACAAGTGCTTATGGCTCTCACTGAAATTTGGCACTGAAATGTTTTATTCTGAGTGTTCCAACAGCTGACACTTCACACCTGGGCTTCCCCAGTGGATTCAGCAGAGACACACTGCTCATCTAGACTGCAGGATGTGAGTGGAAGGATGTGCAGTAGCCAAACCAGTGAGGACAGAAGAGATGAAGTGGTGGAGTTAATTGTTTAAACCCATTGTTTTGTTATCTTCTCAACATTTTCAAATAAATGGTGCAAAACTCACCAAGGTTTTGCTTAGGTCTTGTGTTCTCAGCCTCATCTCCATTAATGATGACACTCACGATGTGTGTTGTGCTGTTTGACATTCCTGGGTCCAAGCACAGAGCTGCCAACAAGCACATGGAGAGGTTCATTTTTCAGAGCAGGAATCAGGCACCTTGACATTTTAACAAAAGCTTTCACAGAAATGTATCTGATACAACAGGAGAATATATATTTGGCAGACATTGGTGCTGTAAGAGTAGCAAAAACTTTGTCTTCACAAATTCTTAGAAGTAATGTTTCTGTAACTCAGCTCTTTTACAGATCCCTGGGAAGACTTGTTTTCACCGCCAAATTTACTTTCCATTCCACAGACTAAAGATTTATTGTGAACTATCCCTAATACACTTCCTCAGTCTGTTGGAGTCTAATTTTGCCATCACCTGTGTCCAACCTCTCCCAATCCCCAGCATGCAGTTGTACCCAATAACTGAGAGACAAGGCTCAACTGCAATGACATTTCCTCAAAATTCTAAGTTGCTTCACCTACCTCCTCAAGTTTGATTTATGATCCTCACTTTGCCTTCATTTTATCTCATGTAGGAAGCATAGGATTGGAACAATCATGTTCCAAAGGAACTCTGAATTAACTCCAATTACTCTCCTTCTTCTTTCCAGCTGGAGAACCCAAGTACTGTCACCTTCCCACAAGTACTGTCACCTCCCCACAGCTGACACAAGGGTGACCTCTGCTTTATGCAGCTTTTTTTTTCCTAAGTTCACAGATGTTGTTCACAGAAGTCCAGCAATTTAGACCTTTACACTTAAATGCCAAATCACAGCTTGAATAATTGGGTTTTGTGTAAAGGATCTTAATTAACAGCAACTTCATCTCTACAGACATCAAACTTACTTCAGACTGAAGTTCAGCAACTGATTCACATCAAAGGACCAAAGTTTCACTTTTACAGCCATGAGATGCTACCCTGCTAATCTGCTTGGGTTTTCTCTTTGGTTTAGAGCATTTCAGACATTTAGAGTAGCCAGCAAGACAGAATTAGCTTTAGTGGGAAAAAATAAGAAAAAGCAAAGACCTGGAGTACACTCAATGACCTCCCCCTTGTAGCCAGTCTCTTCCTTCAGCTCTCGAAGCGCAGCACTTTCTGCTGACTCGTTTTCCTCAATGAGGCCTGGGAGATACATAACACACAAAAACAATTAAAAGCTTCCCACTTAACTGCAATATCCATCCTGAGATCTAATCAAGCTTTCTGGAAGAGGGGAAACATCCTCACTACTCTGTCTTTACAGAGGGATAAGTGTTAGGAAGGATTCCAGTCCCTGGATTCATTATGCTGCTGCCTACATCCTTAACCAATTATCTACAGAATCATGATGCCTTCCCCAAAAATGGCATTGATATTCTCATGAGGGAAAGAAGCCAAATGCTTTGACTCTTAGAGAAAGGAGAAGTGGAGGCAATTTTCTCCAATCTGCTAAAACATCTATTAACATCATAACAGCTTATTTTGTTTTTTCATGATCAAATGTTCCTATTTTGGAATAGCATGTGGAGCTCAGCATGGTTTTCCAGCCACAGCTTCATTAAGATCACAGAATCAACTAACTTGGAAAACACCTTGGAGATCCTCAAGTCTAACCTATAAGATACATAAAGATGGACACTCCAAGCTCATCTAAACACACTGAACCATATGTGACTCATCCCAATGTTTCAGCCACTTACCTGCAGGAAATTCCAAGCAGTAGCCATTGATTGGGGGCCTGAACTGTTTCACCAGGACAATGCAGTCGTAGTGCAGGGTTCTCTGCAGCACTGCTATCACTGCTACCCCTACCACAGCCATGGCAGACACCAGGACATGCAATGTGAGCACAGCAGAAAGTCAGATTTTAGTGCCAGATCTGGAAAGGAACCCACACACTCTACTCTGAGCATTAAAAGTTTGGATGCCTGCTCCAGAACCCTGAATGATGAATTCAAGCTCTTTATAACATGCATGGTGAGAGATCTTCAAAGCTCCCCAGCAAGCCAGAGGCACACAAACCAAGCAAGACCGAGCCTCAGGAAGGGCTCTCCTGCCTACAAAAACTGCTTGAAAGCCTCTGTAGGGAACTCTGTGCTCTCCATTTCTAAATCATGTCCCAAAGAACCCCTTGGCCCCTAACAGCAAACCCAACCACCAGTCTGAGAGCTACTCTGTGTCAGAGCACCCCTGATGTCTTAGGAAGGGCTCCATCATTTTAAAGTGAACACAGTGCCCTTGGGAAGGCTCTCCCACCAGTGAGGTTCTGATTCTTCAGCACCTCAGTCAGCCTTTCATTAGCTCAGGGTATAGCCAGCTCTGCCAAGCCACCTGTTCCACATCCTCGCTCATTCACAACAGATCAGCTCCAAATCTGCATTGTCAGCTTAGCAGGAGGACTTTCACAGGAAAAAAAAGCAAACAGAAAAAGCCACCAATTCTTACCATCAGCTGTAACTCCCTTTTTGTTGCCAGTACGCTTTACAGTTTCCCAAGTTCTGTTTAAACAGAGAAAAGAAGAAATGAACACATAAATCATCTTCTATCCTTGCTGCTTTCACTTAAAGCAAGATGCACCACCACACTGTGAGGCCCTGTAAGAAGCAGCAGGCCACAGACAGGCCCTGTCATACACTGCCACTATAAAATGTCTAAAGTGTAATTTTCTTTTACCTACTTAAGGGGAGAGAGAAAATAGTTAGTTTTAGTTACACAAAAAAATCCAATCTTGCTAATTTTAAGAGGATACTCTGCTGATGGGGTGGGAGGCACTAGAGAGAGCAATCAGCACAGAATCTGACACATTAAGGGGAGGGAACTAAAGATTACTATGTTGTAACACCTACATAAACACAGCAAAACTAAAGAGTACAAAAGAATTGGACAGAAATGATAACATACAAGAGGACAATAATTTGTCAATAATATGGAGAATCCAGCACCACCAGCATGGAAAAAGGAGCCTGTAATAAAGAACCAGAAAAGCCACAGGATGGACTCTGATTGTCACAGAGCAGTTGCACAGCTGGAATTTGCTTCTGTGTAACATCTTTCCAAAGAACTGGAAATGCAGCACAACCCAATGTGCCCAAGAGGATTTAGGAGCCAAATTCAATCTCAATGCTTACACATCTGCCAGAGCAAGATTCTCTCCTCTGAACAGCAGGAACTCTGAAGGAACCTCACAAACCTCTCACCTTGTGTGGAGGGATGCTCTCTACCTGGACCCAGCCTGTGCAATTGGGAACCTGGAATAGCAGAGAGGGAATTACCTGGTTTTCCCAAAGGGATCAGTGTAAGTTGTTTCTGAAAGCTTCAACCATTGTCTTTCTACAATCACCTAAAATAAAGAATTCTTTGTTAAATACATTGTAAAATTAATCCCAAAGAATTGGAAGAAAAACCACAATTTTTTTAGGTTCTTTTGAAGACAAATTTCAGCATCACACCACCTGCAGGAATGTGCAACAGCATTCCTGTTGCTAATACAGAAAAAAAATTACTCTAAATTCTTGAATATGAATAAAAATATAACCCCAAGACAGTAGCTTTTCTTAATATAAATTTTATAACCAAGTTTTGATGGATTCAGTGGCATTTTATGCACTACAAAGTCCTCATTTTTAGTAGGATTTTGCAAGGGTAATATACCAGCTGCAGAAGGGTCTCGGTGCAGCCCAGACACTTCAGCCACACTGGAGCTCACGAGTGCCCCCTCAGCAGGAAGCACAGCCCAAAAGCTGAGCATGCAAGACTGAAAACCAAACTAACCTGACATTTTCTTGCCCTGATCCCAGACTGTGGCTGTGTGTACCTGCTGTATTCTGCAGCTGTGAGAGTGACACCAATCTGTCCCCTTTAGGGTTCTGAGAGTGAGTGCTTGGCATTAGCACAATGACCAAATTTCTCTTCTGGGCTGAGTTTATTCTCCCTATGATGTTTCCTCATTTTTTATGTAATTCATTTAAAAGAGAAAAATCCCTAGATATCAACCTAGCAGTTTGCCTCTTTTACTGTAACTTGTTTTAAAAGGAGTTATTTTTATTTCTTTGTCTATTACTTTGATGGGCAAAAGCCATCTGCTTATACCAGCCTGAATGTTCCTTCCCAGAAAAAGGAAGAATGAAGCAAATTCAGTTCCCACTTTCATGGAAGATAGTCCAGCATCAGTCCAAATTCTTTATGCAGGTTACAGAACCACTTCTGATATAAGAGCCACTGGCAGAAAGAGGGTAAATGCTTCTCTGTATTAAGCCCACAAAATTATTGAAACAAGTAAATAGCTTAAAATATGTAAGATCTAACTCTAAATTTCCAGTCATATCAAACAGCACATTGTTTAAAAAAGAGAATAACAAGGAAAAATTAAAAAAAACTAAACAACAAACCAAACCAAAAATCATAAAAAACCTATACAAAACCAAACCAAAAGAGGATAAAATGAAAATGTTGCCTGCAAAATACCCAGCTCTTAATAGAAAACCCAAAAAGATTACAAAAATCAAATCCTTTATGCTTGTGAAATATTCATATTAAAAAATGCCTAAGAGAAAAGACATAATACAAACAAATCTCTTCTTTCCTTGTGCTGTGAAACTGGAAGAAATTCCAAGAGTGTGTTCACTCCATGAAGAACAAATAAAAGAAAGCACATTTGTGTTATAGCAAGAGCAGGACACTGCCAAACCTGCCTTAACACCAAAGATTAACTTTTAAAATTTCATTTAAAGGCAACAGAAACAAATGTAGGCAGTTTAGGGTGAAAGTGCTTCTAATAAGAATGAAATACCTCCAGGATCCTTTTTTAGGACTGCTATTATTCTTACTACTTCCTTACTGATGTCTTTGAAACAGCGATTATCCAAATTAAAATCTTTTCAGCAAACATAAAACATGGTACAATCCCAAATGTTAAAGCACCTTAAAGGAACAGAAAACTGTTTGAAAGAGAAAATTGCTGAGTTTCATAACCCACCAATTTGTAAAGTCTCTCAGAGATATCAGCATTATTTCTGAACACTGAAAAACCTCCTGAAGAGACAATACAAGGAACAGATGCAAAATCTGAAAAGAAAGAGAAGCAGCTTAAAATAATGCAACACTGTAGATTTCTGTAGATTTCTCTCTCCTTATTGATAATTTATATAATTATTTCAATAAAGAGGAATGTCACACCCTTTAAACCCTCTGACAATCAGGAAATTTTTTGTCTTTTAATGAACATCCAGCCTCTCTAGCATTTTGTACTCTGCACTCACAAACTCACAAATAATTGTTATTCAACAACAAAATTGCCCAACCCAAGCATGCTGTACCTCTTCCTTAAGGACAGATTGTTTGGCTGTTTTTGCAACTTCTGTGGATGTCTCAGCTGCCATTTTCAGCAATGCCAGGTTTTTCCCCTCCTGTGCAAAGTCCAGATATATATGAAACAAAATCAATATTTGCTTTCAGTGTAAAGTTAAAAGGTTCATTTCTGCACCGTAAATTAACAAATATAGCTTGTTGGAGAAAGTCAGGGACGTGTGATGGCAAGTTCAATTCATGCTTTCAGCTCCACCCAGTGATTTCAGAGCCAAATAACTCAAAGGAGAAATGTAAATTTGGGTCAAATCCCTGATCTGTATAATTTTAACAGTGCTATCAGCTGTCAGGCAGCTATGGCAGCTGAAGACAGTTAAATGTCTTCAAATGTCAGACACACATACAGACAAGAATCCATTTCAAAAAGTTTCATTCTGATCTGGGTGAAATGCTTTGTCAACAGTGTCTGGACAACAGGACTGTGCACTGCACTGTGAAATGCAAAAAAACCTAATACCAAACTTTAGACCTTATACCTTCTACCAGGACTTCAGTGGTAAAAAGTCTCTGCTATTAAAAATAAGAACTAGAACCCACCTCCAGCTTACACCACAAATAAACACATAAATTACTCAATCCTTCCACTAAAAACAAGGTCAAAAAACTACACATTGCAAGTCTGTGCACCACATGGGGCAGGTGTGATGGTGTGACCATGGCATGAGTATTTTACTGGGAATGATGTGTCCAACACCATGCAAAAGGCAGCATTTGCATTTTAAAAAGTGCCCAAAGCAAGGCTCTACACCTGCAGCTCATGCCTCAGTCTGCATCCCCAGGAAAGTGAAATTATTCACTCCCCCCATCCAGTTCCAGCCTAAAGACACAGGAGGCAGCAGGAAAAAATGTATTAGAGACTGAGCCTGTGTCACTGTGGAACTGCAGCACAGAAACATACCAGGGAAAGCATCTCTGATATTAACTTAATACTGAAGTCCTGAAAATAATCATGAATCATAAGGAAAATCCAGTGAAAAGAAATAAATCAGTTTAAACACCAGGAGAGATGAGATGAGATGAGATGAAGTCCTGAAAATAATCATGAATCATAAGGAAAATCCAGTGAAAAGAAATAAATCAGTTTAAACACCAGGAGAGATGAGATGAGATGAGATGAGATGAGATGAGATGAGATGAGATGAGATGAGATGAGATGAGATGAGATGATCTTTAAGATCTCAATCATCCATAGCATTGATGGTCATAATCTTTCCAAAAAGTCAGAAAGAATCTTTCCATGACTTCAGCTATGGATTACCAGTGATCTGTGAGGTCTCTAGCAAGAACAGTAGCAAAGTGTGTGAAAAGCTTCACACCCAGCTTCAGCACTTTCATTTTTTATTTCATATTTATCCTTTTGTGGTAACATCTGTTGCACACCAGTGAAACATGAAAGAGCAACAATCAGCTTTTTAACATAGTGCATTGCCATGGGCTTGCAGTAAGTAGTTAAAAGGAACAGGTAGGACTAAATCTTTCTGTTTATCAGCAAGAGTAAAACTCAAGTGCATTAAACCATTGCCTTGGGCTGTACAGGGCAGGCTCTCTCTTAATTCTTAAGAAAGTGGTTTGGGGTGAAGTTGGTGATATAAGTAAAATGTGAAGACTGGTTTATGTAACATAAGTCTTGAAAAGAAACTCTAACCTGTTAAACCAAATTCTGTTCCTTAAAAAAAAAAATCTAAAAAAATCTATAATATTCTTTTAAGGCAATGAAGCTCCTTTCCTAATCTACAGTTTTATTATCTGTCTTACCACTATTTGTAACACAAACTGCTCATTTGCTTGTGTTCCAGTCTCTATCCCACTTCAGTTCAGCCAGCTGTTCCAATGTTTGGAACTCCCTTCTCTTAGGATTGAGGAGTTTTACCTGGACAATGCCATGTCTCATGCTGTGACTCTCAAATACAGGACCAAGCTTTCCACCAAACACAGGCCAGGAGAAACAGACAAAGCAGGCTCTGTGTGATAGCTTTAAAAACACAAAAACCTTACATCCCCAGCTACAGCAATTTCACCTCCTGCATTTGGAAAGAATTATAACCTTTTGCATTGTCAATATAAATATATCAAAGGAGCAGAGAGTGAACCATAGCCTTGTCAAAGTTGTCTTTGGATTGGGCTAAGTCTTCCTCTTTTACTCTCCCCTCACAGAAAATCCTGTTCCATTGATCACCCCAATCCTTCTGCACAAATATCAGTTTATCTTTCCCAAATGTGGGTTACCACAGCTGTATCATGAAAAAAAAAAACCAAATACTAGAGCCTCATCTCATGGCAGAATCTGTTTTCAAAACAGCTCTTTCTCTCCTGAGAGATTCAGCAGTGACTTGCTACTTATAACAACAACAAAAATACACAGTTTCAGTGGTTTAAATTATCACTAAAACCTAAATTGGGTGAACACCTCAAAGAGAGGGGAATGCTGATCTGGCCCAGCTTCTGTAGTTTGGGTCTCCTCCACAAGTGGGTGCAGTAACTCTATGTATAGTGACATTTTCAGAAGTTCCATAAAACAGTATTTTTGCCCAGATTCAGTTGGCAGTAGAGAAGTGAGAATTTCTGCTGTTAGAAAGCTGAAATACTGTTTGGTTAAATGAAGGCTGCAATTCTGGCATCTCACGTTAGTCATGCTGTCAAGGATGGCAATGTCTCCTGTTCATAAACAGAATTAGCTGCAAGTGAAAATTAAATGTAACACTAAAATGTGAGGTTTCTAAAGGCCTATTTAGCTTTCAGAACATGCCTTGTCTTGCAGTTCTTCTACCTCATAAAATTCACTCTGCATGTAAATATGAGTTCATCTGAGTTAAAAATTCAGTGCAGCTGATACAGCAGCCTTGAACCTGACTTAGGATTACATGAGCTCTAAGAATACACATTTTTAATTGTTATAAATGCAATCTTGAGAATATGTCAAAGTACCCACATTTATCAGCTACCTTAACATGAATCAACAGCACTCAAACTATCAATTATGGGGGGAAATAAATGTTTTCTACTTTGGTAGTTTTTGTATCCAATGTTAGAGTGTACTGCTGGCAAATCATGCTACTTCTATTCATTTCCAACTGGAGTCGATTCTGTCCTGAAAAAGCCATGCCTTTTACAAAACATGTAACTTTATTCCCATTGCTTATTTCTTTGTTGAGTGGCTTCCTTTCAAGGCAACATCCAGCCACTCTACAGTTCCCAAATTATCCTTCCCAGCAGTTATAATCTTAAGCCAGCCAAGGTCTGTGAATCAGTTGGAGAGGGAAGTCAAGATATCAGAAATATACTTCAATATTAATACTTAGATGGATGGATTAGCGTTCCTAAATCACTTTTCAGAAGACATTCTCTGATCCAAACACACATTCCAGCTGACAGCAACCAGATTTAATGGAAGCTCAGCAAAGAGGGTCCCATGGCAAATTCAAGGTCAAATGAAATATAGATTTTTTTATAAAGAATGTGCAAAAGAGACACTGGCAACGATTTAACCAACAGCACCCTGAGATATCTAAGCTTCAGATAAACATAATTAAAAACTCCTAAGGAACTTAAAACTTGTTACTTGCACTTTAATGCTATGATTCTAGAAAAAATCAATTAAGTAGCAATTAAGTTGAAGGAAGGGAGAAAAGTAGGGGGGGAATGTTTTGTTTTTATCACCCTATCTAGAAGCATGGATGGCCCACTGAGTGCCAAATTAAACATGGGCAAGTAACTGCAAAGCAAACAAGGATTATCTCCCAGAAGCAGAAGAGGGTGAGAGGCAGCCCCATGGTGTTATCAACCTTCCCAAGAGCTGAGGTCTCACACAGCTGGCGAGTCTGACCATGCTCACAGGGGTCCGAGGATGAGGGAGGAGATAAGAACCGAACCCAACGTTCAAAAAGCCTGATTTATTATTTTATGATAGATATTATATTAAAACTATACTAAAAGAATAGAAGAAAGGATTTCCTCAGAAGGCTAGGTAAGAAGAGAAAAGAAGAATGAATAACAAAGGCTTCTGTCTTGGACAGAGTGTCTGAGCCCGCTGGATGTGATTGGCCAATTATTAGAAACAACAACATGAGACCAATCCCAGATGCCCCTGTTGCATTCCACAGCAGCAGACAATCAATGTTTACATTTTGTTCCTGAGGCCTCTCAGCTTCTCAGGAGGAAAGATCCTAAGGAAAGGATTTTTCAGAAAATATCATGGTTACAGGGGAGACACCCCAGACTGCAGATGGGACAGCACAGGAGGAAACATGGCATGGAAACAACGCCATGCAGGGGACACAACAGCTGAACCACGGGGCTTAAATATCCCCATACTGCTCTGTTAATGCCTGACTTGGGACTGAGCAAAATGAAATAGTGGTTGATAAAAATCTTAACATGAGCTGAGAGTGTGAGCTCACAGCCCAGGGCTGCACCCAAAGGCTCTGCCCCTCTCCCCTGCTCTTGTGAGAGCCCACCTGGAACTCTGTGCACAGTTCTGTGTCCCAGACAAAACTAAAGGACATGGAGCTGTCAGATCAAGCACAGAGGAGACCACGGAGTTGATAAAAGGACTGGAACACCTCCCCTACACAGACAGGCTGAGAAAACTGGAGAGGGTTGTGTGGAGAGTTCAGAGCATCTTCCAGCAGCTGAAGGAAAATGAATTAATGGTTCATAAAAATCTTAACACGAGCTGACAGTACGAGCTCACGGCCCAGGGCTGCACCCAAAGGCTCTGCCCCTCTCCCCTGCCCTTGTGAGAGCCCACCTGGAACTCTGTACACAGTTCTGTGTCCCCAGCACCACAAGGACATGGAGATGTCAGAGCAAGCCTAGAGGAGGCCACGGAGTTGATAAAAGGACCAGAACACCTCCCCTACACAGACAGGCTGAGAAAATTGGAGAAGGTGGTGTGGAGACTTCAGAGCACCTTCCAGCAGCTGAAGGAGCTACAGTGAAGCTGGACAGGGCCTGTTCATCACAACTGCAGTGATAGAACAAGGGGTAATGGGTACAAATTGAAAGAGGGGAAATTTAGGTGAGATATTAGGCAGAAATCCTTTATGGTGAGGGTGGTGAGACAGCAGAACAGATTGCCCAGGGAGCTGTGGATGCCAGGTCGGATAAAGCCTTGAGCAACCCGGTCTCACATGGGAGGCGTCCCCGCCCGTGGCAGGGGGTGACTGGAACTGGATGATCTTTAAGATCCCTTCCCATCTATGAAACAGCTCCATGCAGGGCACACGCGGGCACAGGGAGGACGGCAGAACCTACAAGGATCAGGCGTTACTCAGCCATTCCTGGGCTCGGGCAGAGCAGAGCGAACGCACCGCCGCGGGACGCTCCGGGCGCCGCCGGCTCCGGGCAGCGCTGAGGCGGCGGGGCGGGGCCGGGCCCGGTGCGCCGGCGATGGCGCCGGGCGGCGCCTGGAGCTGCGCGGGAGGTTCCGGGCGGAGCGGGAGCTTCCGGGAGCGGCCGCGCTGAGGAGGAGGAGGATGAAGAAGGAGCAGGTGGCGCACTGCCAGTTCTCCGTGTGGTACCCCCTCTTCAAGGCAGTCACCATCCGCAGGTGCGGGCGGTGAGGGGCGGCGGGGGCTGCGGGAGGCGGTGCGGGCATTAGGGGAGGTGTGGGGCGAGGGAGGGTGTCCTGCTCCTTCCCTCAGCCCTGCTGAGCTCACCTGGCGTGCTGTGTCCGCTTCTGGGCTCCTCAGAGCAGGAGGGACATGGAGATCCTGGAGCGGGTCCAGTGCAGGGCTACGAGCGTGTTAAGGGACTGGAAAAGCTGAGGGGACTGGGCCTGTTCACGGATCACAGAATGGTTTGGGTTAGGAAGGACCTTAAAGATCTTATGGTTCCAATCCCCCGCCATGGGCAGGGACACCCTCTCTAGACCAGGGTGCTCCAAGCTCCTTCCAACCTCCAGGGATGGGGCAGCCACAGCTTCTCTGGGCAGCCTGTGCCAGGGCCTCACCACCCTCGCAAGAAAGAATTTAGAACACTAATATCTGTCTAAACTGACTCTCTCTCAGTTTTAACCCATTCCCCCATGTGCTATCGCTAGTCTCTTGTAAATAGTCTTGCTCCATCTTTCCTGCAAGTTCCCTTAAAGTACTGGAAGGAAAAAGAGATGACTGAGAAGGGACTTCATTAATGGATATAAATATCTAAAGAAGGGGTCCCAAAGGATGGGACTACATTAATGGATATAAATATCTAAAGAGGGGTTGCCAAAGGATGGAGCAGGCTCTGCTTGGTGGTGCCCAGCAATAGAAGGCAAAGGGCAGAAATTGATGCTCAGGGAGCTTCACCTGAACGTGAGGAGGAATTTCTATCCTGGGCAGTGACCGAGCACTGGAGCAGATTGCCCAGGGAGGGTGTGGAGTCTCCCTCACTGGAGATATTCCAGCAGTGTCTGGGCACATCCCTGTGCCCTGTGCTCTGGGATGGCCCTGCCTGAGCAGGGAGGTGGGAGCAGCTGAGCCCTGTGCTCCCTTCCAGCCTGACCCATTCTGGATTCTGTGGGGTTGGGTCAGATAGAGGGGCCTGTGTGGGGCAGAGCTGGGCTGGAGGTGGTGGGGGATTGATTGAGCCATCAACTACACCCCAGGGATCTGGGCTTTTCTCTCTACATCCCAAGGGAGTGTTTTGGGAAGCCCTGGGGCAGGCCAGGCGCCCCTGTGCTCCCTGCACTCCTGCTGGGACTTCATGCTGAGCATCAGGAGATATCCACTCTGTTCTTATTATCCACATCCTGTATCCACATTGCTATTCCTGCTTAAACTGTGACTGAATAGATCCAACCCAAGTGGCCACCTTGGTGTTTCTGTGTATTTCTGGGAGCTATAGGAAGTTCTGCAGTTTCTAAGGTGCTGCTGCAAGTCATGAGATGGTAACAAGAACTACCAGTAGCTCAGGAAAGTTAAGATAGCTGCCCTGCTGGATCAAAAAGTGCTGACATCATGCTTTTAGTAATCAAAGCATTTGATCTTTTATCTTAGTGTTTATTTTTGGTAAGTTTAGTGATAGTCCTGCGTTTTTGGAACGTTAGGATGGCATAGGCAAATTCTGATTTGGATTTCAGAAGGAAAACTTTAGTTGTCTCTTCACAAGCTGTACATAATTTTACTTGGAATTTCTTAGAGCTTTGAAGGAGTTTTTTTGTGTATAATACATTTTTGTGTATTTCATCTAAAATTTTTGTCCTATGCATCCATGGAGGGAAAATGGGCATTGCTTTTTTTTGAGTGAGGGATAAGATAGGCAAAAGAGAATTTTCTTCCATCGTGTTAGAGGATAAAACTTAGTGTTGTTGGGGTATGTGCTATGAAAAAAACAAATTCTTTTATTCCACTAGGAATTTTATTATAACAAGTAATAATAAAGTATTAAAGAGATTTTCACATTTCTTCCAGTGTTATTCTTCCCCTGCCAGAGAATGTGAAAGAGTATTTGCTGGATGATGGAACACTGGTGGTTTCTGGAAGGTAAAGTGTGTTTTCTCCCCAGCTCCCAAGTATTAATGCCATTTTTTTATTCACAGCACTATTTTGTATTTTCATATTGTATTGAGCATAATGAGTTTCTCAATTTGAGCAGTGTGACTGCAGTAAACCTCCTACTGTGTGAGCATGTGAATGGGCTGACTGTTGTTAGTACAGCTGGATTTGCTGGTGCCTGAAGCAGATCTTAAAATCCATGAACTACAGTTCCTTCTAGACCAAGTGGACAAAGTCCTTTCATTTTTTCCTCCACCCTTCTTTGGGGAGAGTACCATTCTTTGGGATGCTCAGCTGATGGTTTGTGTTTGCTTCTTTGGATCTGGTTGGGTCCAGTTCGCAGGCTTGACCTGTCCCATGCCAGTCCAGGGGTGAAGTGACATTTCCTTAATTCTCAATAAAATAAGTTATATACAGACTCAGTAATTAGTAACATTTTATACAATTATTTGCATGTGGGTGATCCATGCATATGACAAAGCTGAATGTCCTGTGTGAACACCCATGGCAGGATTTTGGATGCAGAAGAATGAGTGGGGAGGTAGCAGGAGCAGTTGGGAAGGACCCAGGCCTTGCTCTCTGTTTCTGTGTGGGATCTCCGTGTGTGGTTCCCTTGTGGAATGGTTGCTGCCTGCATCTTGTTAATGCTCAAACTCAGAAATCAGTCCTCACTCCAGGATTCCCTACCTGGGAGTTTGCCCCTTGCAGAGCAGCCAGTGAGGCTGTGTGTGAAAGGGAGCTTGGTTTGATTTATCAGCTATCAATTTATATAAAAATGGAAGCTGTTTAAACACTTTGTAAACACAAAAGGGTTTAATTTTTAATTTCTAAATTATTTTTCTTATTAAAGGATATCCAGAAAATTAGAATTGTTTTTTAAATTATTTTGGATCAGAAGTAGCATTGTCACCTGCTTCTGCAGAACTGTGCAATTTATTTAGCAGCAGCTGTAGATTTTAATAAGCCTTCAGAAAAGCTGAAATTGAAGGTTTGGCTTAGCTGTGTTCTACAATTTTGCTGTCTTCAATGGAGTAATGGACAGCTGTATGATTGACTTAAATTACATTTTCAAGATGTTTGCAGTTAAAATCCATTTTAGAAAACTTTTTTTTCTCTGAGTTGAATTTCCTTAGCTATAAGTGAATGTGATCTTGTTGCAGTCAAGGCCAAGATTGCCTCTAACCTTCAGTGCACCCCTATCTGCCCTCTAGATCTCAAACACTGGATTGATGGTTTAGTCCTTGTGGAACTGCAGAGACTCAGCTTGTCTAAGAATTGACTTTTGCCAGGGATGTACATTTGCCCTTGCCCTGTTTGCTGCACTCTCCACTTTCCATAGGATCATCTTTGGTCTGTGTGCTGAGTGTCTGGACAATTTCTTTTCAGAGCTAGAAATTCACAGGTTGACATTTGAAACTCAACATTTATGAATTTTTACTTGGAAAGGGAGTATGGAGGCAAAAATTTAAATTGAACTTATTAAAAAAAGTTAATTTGTGTTTGTGTCAGAGTACCGTAAAGTTGGAAACGAATCATTAACAGGGTGTCAAAAAATCATTGACAGGGTGCTGAAAAGCTTCAATGGTGTTTGAGAGCAAAAAGTGATCTGCTAGTTTGAAAGAAACAAAATGTTCAGAGTGGGACCTAGGCCTAATGCCAGCTATTTGGTCTTTAGTTTTCAGTATTGGCATCTCTGATTTTTCTCTGCCAGGGTTTTGAGGTTTAATCTTCTTATAAAAACATTTTGACATCCAGAGCTGGAAATGCTGTGGAAATGTAATGGACATGGTCAAGTCAAACTCCAGTGCTTAAATTTTTTCCTGTTAATTTTTTGTTTCAGAGAAGATCCACCAAGTCATGCTCAGGAGGGGAGTGATGATGCAGAGGAGATACAGGTCAGCATAAAATGCAAATTAATGTCGAGTCTCTTGAGAAAAATATGAGTGTATAACTTTTTCTGCATAATTTATAAGTGCAGAGAGTCCTTCACAGAAATAATTATCATGTGGTAGTTGCCATGAAAAACATAAATATGTGATCACTTATGCTGGGAAGTCAGGGAAAGTTTAAGATATTTCCATGCTCTTCCACAGAAGTTGTTTTTTTTTTATTTTTCATTTCTTGATAATTGCATTTGTAATCATGATTGGGGAATGTGGAAATTGAACTTAATGCTGTTTCATGCCCTGAAAAATTAGGAGTACATTTGGAGTAGTTATTTCAACAAACAGTGAAAGTTTCTGAGGCCATGATAACTCAGAAGGCCATTCTAGAGGGAAAACACTGAAAAATGTTGTAATTACAAGTGACAGAAGATACAAAAAGGAGATGAAAAATAAATAAAAGTGAAGCTAATGGATCATGAGTCTAAGGATGGAAATGCTGGAGCTGGAGACAAGCTGTAGATTGGGAAAACTGAGTTCTGAAATGTCCATCTTTCTGAAATAAATCAAATTTGAAACATATAGAGATATCTTTTTATCAATACTTTAGAGTAGTACTTCTACTCTCCATAGCTTTTAACTGGAGCTACATAACTCCACACAGCTCTTACCCCAACACTGAATATACAGTGTTTTCCTGTCTTACTTTACAGCCAAAACAATTGCAGGATGGTGATGTTATGCTGTCTGGGGCAATGATTTGAACTCCATGTTGTAAGAGGCTGCATGAATTCTGATATTCTCATAACTTATAAAGGATGGCTCAGGAAGCTGGTAACCTTTGGTTTGTTCTTATTTTGAACAGTGGTCAGATGATGAGAACACTACAACACTTAAGGTAAGGTCCTGTGAAAGCCCAGTGGGTTTGGCAGCAGTTTCCTTTCTGCAGCCTTGTGGCACAAACTTGTTGCTGGTTAGAGATATCTCTTGCTGTATTTAACATTTTTCAGACCATTTTAGATGGGTGGCAGTATAGATGTCTGTAACTTCCAAAAGGTTTTGCTGGCTTAATTTTATTTAACTGAAATAAAACACTTTTCTTCATCCCTGACAATCATACACTTGTTAGACCCTAGGAAATGAGCTGCAGTACAGCTCTAAATATAGCTCTTTCATTTTCACCACTTTGAGTATCTCCAAATTATTAATCAGACTGGATGCAGAAGGAACCAAGCCCCTGCAGCTTAATCTTCACAACTTTTCTCTTGATGTGCCATTATTTCTTCTTAGTACATCTCTCTCTATCAGGTTTTCTTTTCTTTTTCTGTCCTTATGGTTTCCTTGCACATGGGGTCAGGATCATGATGGATGCAAACCAGGCTTTCTTGATGTTTTTCTTGCA